CATGTGAGGTGCTCAAACAGCGGCTTATCAGTTTCCTTTTTCTGCACATTGTGCGTAATCACTGGGGTTTGAATTGAACTCTGTTATTTGTGAGCCAAAATCCCCCTAAAAAATTGCATGTAATGAGCCTGATTCCTCTGCAGTCGCTCGTCAGAAGCAGGGATAAGAAAGGTATCAATTAGTGCATGTTTTAGATGTCAAAGCTGCTTCAGACTAGATGCTCAGAGGTCTGGAATAATTACCTCAGCTTTGTTTAAACCATGGGAAGTCTGTATCCTGGTGGCTCCGAAAGAAAAGGGGCTTGATGAAAGCAAAGCCCATATTATGTGTTTGCAGTTTTTTGCTGCTATGTCTATCTGAGGGGATGAACAAGGGAAATGATGCAGAATGGAGACCTGGCTGATAACATGAATTTCCTTTTTATTCCCAAGCTTTTACTACAGGATTAATCATGTTTTTAATGCTTGTGTTTTTCAATGGTATATTCCAAAGCCTGCAAGGAAAGATTGAAAAAAAGTTTTCCTCTCAAAGATATTGAAAGTAACAAGACAGAAGCCCACTATTTGAAAAGTCTTTCAAAACAAAGCATTTGAATCACTAGAATCCTTGCTTGACACTGGCATTAAGCAGGATCTGTTGCGGCTTATGTTTATCTGTAAAGATGAAAAGCAGGTAAACAGTCTTGTTTATGACACACCTCTCCATCTACTAGCAGGATGAGACATTATTTGTGACTTTGTAATTTTCAGGAGACACATTTTCAGGAGACAAAGGTGGTTTAAGGCCAGTTAGGCCTGTCACGATCATTAATTTTGTTGGACGATACATTTTCCCGGAAATTATTGCGATAAACGATAATATTGTCGGCACCATTGTAAGACCATTTTAGACCACTGACATAATGATAATATATAATAATAAAGAACAATTTTATTGAACATTCAACATTGCAAATGAAATGTGAAATAATATTCAAATATATAAATTATATATAATAAATAAACTAATTAATTAAATTTAAAAAAATGTATTAAATCACATACAACCAAAACAATCAATTAAATAGACTCAGGCTGGAAAACAGAGCTCTCTCTTTCTCTTTCTCTCTCTCTCTTTCTCTCTCTCTCTCTTTCTCTCTCTCTCTCTCTCTCTCTCTCCATATATATATATATATAAATAAATATGAGCACACATTGTCTCACAAGCAAAGAAAAACTCAACAGGCCGTATCCAAATCTGTATCAATCAAAGATTTCGAGCAAGGAACACCAACATGTTTGCATTGTCTGGCAAATGCATCTTTGATTGTTAACTGTCGGGAAGGCGGGGGCTCTCCATCTCAAGGCCGGCAGCCACAGCGCGCCTGGCTAAAATGCTGGTCACTTATGTAAACAAACACGCATGTAAACGGCAATTTATTGAGGTCAGAAAACTTATCGAGTTCATTTCTATTTATCGTACGATAAGTCAATTAATTGCTTATCGCGACAGGCCTAAGGCCAGTGACAATAACAACTGGAATTCAATTACAAAACTGCTGAATATAAATGTGTTCTGTTGCTATTGTTTTTTGTAATCACTGATCACTAACGGAGGCCTTTATCCAACAATAAGGGTTGTCAAATTAATTCTGATGGGTTCCAATGTAGTCCATAAGATATCTGGAAATAAAGATCTTCTTTAGTAAACAACACATCTTAAAGAATATGCTCTTATAAAAATGGTCTGTTTTGTCACAACACTTTGTATGGAGGTGTGTAGATACAGGCATCTGTAAGACATGGTGTGAGATTACAAGGACAGTGAGATAACAATAATAATTTTCGGAGGGAGAGTGCAAAGACACTCAGCAGTGATAAGCAAACTGCAAAACAGGGAAAGAAAATAAAGGACAGAATCATCAAGAATGTTAAGAGTCCGAGTGAAGATGTTTGCAGGCTGAAATTTCCTCTTGCCATACGGCTTTGTTAATCTCACATCTATCCTTGGAAGGTGGCTGCTAAAGGTGTGTCCTTCTTCACAGACGGCAGCTGTTGTCGGCTTCTATTATAACAATATATGCTGCAGGACAATGGCTTGAGACATTTTGATACTTTTATCAGCCGTAAATACCCTTTTAAAGGAGTTCACATTTGTAACAGCGGCCTTTCAAGCCTAGATGTATTGACAGTTGATTATGAAATGGAATTTTAAGGTGACAAAACAGGAATCAACACCAAATAAAAAGCGTTTTATAAAGTTACCCTGTTTTACAAGGATCTAATGATGAGAGCCCAAGTTGTTCCCATCAGTGGTTGAGGGCTGAGCAGGTGCATTGTGCATTAGTGTTCAGGCCTTTATTCATTCTCAGCGGTCCAACTGGAGTGTGTTTAATTATAAACCACTGGAGGGCTTTGATTGCTGAGGTGGATAGGTTGCAAGCCTCGCTACAATTCAAAGCTGTGTCTCTAATAGTTAGAAAATGCATCTTAAAGGAGACCTATCATGCTATATTTGAATAATATATTGTAGGGCCACACCTATATAAGGTATATTTATATGTTTTTTTTTTCAAAATACCAAACAGATCATGAATTTTAGCCTGTCTTTGCATGCGCTGCAGCCGACCACATCCCCTGCAGAGGAGGGGGCCGAGTTACGAGCTTCATGTTACCATGCTGTTACCATGCCACGGCAACCTCTCATTCCCCTGATAGGCGTAGAGTTGGCCATATAGGCGGAGCTCCTCATCACTGACGTCAGACTATTTTCAAATCTGTATCCGTTTGTATCAGATCCGTTCCAGCCCCGTTTTTAGAGATTTGGGTATGTAGGAAAAGAGAGAGGGTTGTGTTTTCTGACACTTGGTGAGTCCCCTGACACACCGGGGACACATATTCATGTATAAAAGACGTACAAAAGTGCATTTTGCATGATAGGTCCCCTTTAAATTATTTGGATTTTTGAAATGTTAATACATTTTAACATAGGTCAAGTTTCAAATAGCATTAGAGCTAAATTTGCACTTTGCTGCTTAAGGGCTAGGTAAAATTGGCTCAGGGGGTCAATGGACAAAGCGAGGCCCAATCAGACTTTCCAGATGACCTGGACTTCCCTCTTGTGTTGTTTTTATTACCATCCATTCTCCATAGTTTGCCACTTGGTTTTCACAATTCCTCTAGGGCAGTGCTTTTTCTTAGAGAGCCTGGACACCATTGTCCTCCACTCGCTTTCCTGACAGACATTTTCTTGGCATGGCGGGCAAAGAGCTTTGTGGTTGGTGCCAAACTGATTTCCTCGGTGGCTTTACTTCTGGTGCTGGCGTACTGCATGGCATGTTGACTACAGCTAAAGAGACAAACTTCATTGCGTCTTTTCCTATTGATTATTACAGTATTTTTCACAGACTATGATGCGATTTCCTAAGGCCAAACGGGTTTTGGAATGATGAGGAGAAGAAGAAGAAGACTGTCTTCATAAAAACATGACCAAAGCAAAAACATGTTTTACAATTGATTGAACCTTTGTCTGTGCAATAAGCTTTCGAAATTAAACTGCATAAGGCATGGCAATGGTCACAGCGGAATCGCAGTCTGGTCCTAAAATACAGCCTATTGAGAGATGTTTGATTATCTGTGGCTGAACTGAAGGTTTGTACTTTCGATTCAGCAACATTGAAAAGCTTATGTGGAAAACTGCTCTACAATAAGTTGAATGAAGTAATTACTCAATGAAACCCAGTTGTCCATACTTGAGTATAACACATTCTGATACCAGAGAAGTTCATAAGCATGGACAAAGTCATAACATAAACTTGAACTAACTTTACATTGCAGACACATCAGCTTTATACATAGTATATCCCACCTCAAACAGCATCAGTTATAACCAAGCCACCTTGGAGGGGGCACACAATGTTGTGTCTTTACCCTGGGAGGTCAAAAACCTCCTAGCAGAGACCCAGAGCAAATATTCCCAACATGAAGCATACAAAGGGTAAAGGACTTTACAATGCCTTTGTGGTTAATAACCATACATCAATTGTATATAGCAAGGAATTGGAATTGTGTAGAAAAACCCATAGTTGTACCAATCGGTATTTTCATTACTTTGCACCTAGCAGTAGGTCCGCTGTCGCCTCTTTTTTCTTCACCTTCTATACTGCATGTTATTTTTGAGTGATCACTCTACTCCTGATGCATTGATGCCCTTTTAACAGTCACAGGTCAAAGATCATACTCACTTACTTCACTTAAGAGCCAAGCTTTTCAAAGCTCGGAAAGGTGAACATCCCCATTACAGTGCTAGTGAGAGTGGAGCTAAACAGTTCCTTTCTAAGTGGTTTCTTACATTATATTTCACAGGGTTGGATGCAGGAAACGTTATTAATGGTTGAGAATGAAAACATTTATGAAAAATATATATAAATCTCACACATTTTGAAGCCATGAAGCACTCTAAATCAAGTTCTTGCATACAGATATCTATTTCTTCTGAACGAGACCTTTGAATGACCTGGAAATAAAAGGAATTAAGGAAAAAGAAGCCGACAATCACCACATTTATTTGCCCGTTTCAAAGGTCCACCAACAACAAGAACCCATATTTATGCACAGCTATTAGTCATAGCTCTGGCTATTTTAGTCTGGACTCAAAACGAATCTTAACGCAGCTTGGTTGAGTCACATTGAGGTGCTGAAATGTCTGTCTTTTATGACGCTCTGACTGGTACATTACACATTTCTGCCTTTCACTAAAATGTGATACTTCCCTTGGTCCATATCCTGTTTTTGCATTACAAAATCAATATAAGGAAAGCATCTTCAGGATTTGTTTGTAGTTCGAATCTCATAACACACACAATTCTGTTTAACTGCGAAAATAGTTTGCTGAGGCCTGAGAGAATATTTACTATCGAGAGACATAACGCCTCTAATGGATAACATAGTCTTTAGTCAGCAAAAAACACATCTTCTTTTCCTCAGTGGTTTTTCAGAGCCTTTCTCCAGATCTAACTGAAGTGTCTCTTGTCCCTCTAGGTGCTACCTATTGGATGGGATCTCTAAAGGAGCCTGGCTGAACCGCTCAAGCATCATATTCGCAGGAAACGACAAGTGGTCTGTGGACCCACGTGTGTCCATTGTGTCCAGTGTTGGAGACAAACATGAGTACAGCCTTCAGATACAGAAAGTGGATGTTTCTGATGACGGCCAGTACACGTGCTCCATTCAGAGTGAGCGCAACCCACGGCCAAAGCTCCTCAACCTCATTGTAAAAGGTATGTATTTGTTGTGCTGAACAGGCACTTGTCCAAGCATGAGTGTTGTTCTTGTTACGTGTGTGTATATTAATTGGTAATAAAAGATCATTTCAATTATTTTCAACCCTATTTTACATCATCAATTAATGTTGGATTTCAGTTTTCTCCACCTACAGTATAAGTGCCATGCTCTTTGATGGGTGGGTGCAATATTAAAAGTTCCCCTAATTGGGATATATATGTTTTAAATCCTCAGGAGCAGAAAGAGGAGCTGTGGATTATTCTTATTGATCAGTGTTTCTTAGGGTCAAAAACACTAAACTCACAGCTTAAAATGAAAGCGTTTAGTTTATTAATAAAAGAGCACATGTTCAATGTGACAGTAGATATAGATTAGTTGCAATTTGGTGCTATATATATAAATATATTTAAAAAAATAATAATAAACAAATAAATAATTATAATTATTTTTCTTTTTAAACACCTTGAATTTCAGGGGGGGGCGCAGGGCTCCGTTGGCGGGGCGCAGCGCCCCTCCAAGACAATGGTAGGGGAAACACTGCCTTTACACAGAGGGGACACATGATTATGTATACAAAGCAGGGATCTTAGGTTCATTAAAAACATGGAAAAGTAATGGAAATTCAAAATGCTAATTCCAGGCCCTGGAAAAGTTATGGAAAACAACATTTTTCCCAAAGTTTTGGAAAAGTCATGGAAATGTAACTAAAGTTGCATCAATTGCCGAAATAGTAATACAGTAATGATAATGAATACTGTATCGTATAGTAATGAAACGTAAAATTTAACTGACGAGGTATTTTGCTGGTGAGAGATTTTAGTTGCTTCAGCGTGTAGAAGCTTGTAAGCCTACTATTTGATTTGTTTTCAGATAGGCACAACATGTTTCATATGCAGACCTTATTTTCCTGTTCCATGTTAAAATAAACCATTTTCAGTGGTACCGCTGAGAAAGAGTACTTTTTTTGGTCATGGAAAATTAGGTAAAGGTCATGGAAAAGTCATTGAAAATCATTGGTGAAAAAGTGCATCAACCCTGACAAAGTGGATTTTGCACAATAGGTGACCTTTAAAACTAAAATTGCTTTTATTTCAGATTTCTATCTGACTTTACCATATTACAGTATGATTCAAGAACTTGTTGTGTCACTTATTTCCCTGATCATTAAGCCATCAATATAGCAAATCCGACAATGTCTTTTGTTGTCCATTTGTTGTACCTATTGGTCACAGGTGTATCCCATACCATATGTGCAGCACACATATCTGTCACTCTCTTATACTCTGAGTAAGAACAAGAGCCCAAGAACCCACATTCTTTCTTTGAAATAATAAGGAAAATATTTCCAAGGAGACATTTCTTCTTTAGAGGCAATCTGACATCTTAGGGTACATTTTGTGCCCGTGGGCTATGATACACAGAGTAAAAGAGTTTGTTTAATGACTGGAGGCAGACTATTTAACTGCAATCAATCCTCCCTGGGTTTTGTCCCAGCAGGTTAAGAATTCAACTCTTGAATGCATTTTATATAGTTATTGATAGGGATGCTCCGATCAGTGCTCTCTATAAAGGCCGATCAGGAGAGCCGATCACATGACACTTTTCTCAGTGCGCGGCAAAACAAGCTCGCCAAAATGGCTTCACCGATCTGGCAGTATTTTAAGGTGTCCGAAAAAGAAAATTAAATAGCGGTATGCAACGTGTGTGAAGCAGAAATCCTGCAGCTCCACCCGCTGTGACGGACCGGTGAGCGGAACGAAACACACACTAAGAGTTAGACTTAACACACTTAACTATTTTATCTACATCTGGAACAAGCTAAACTAGTTAGACATATATTTATTCTTCACTGTCGGGTCACTCATTACTGGGTCAGTGAGCTGCATGAGACAGATACTGACGGCTGTCAGGGGAGGGAGAGAGGGGGAGAGGGGGAGAGGAAAAGTTATCCAAAGTTAATGTAAACTTGAATAATGTACTTCATTTGAATGGAATAAGTATGTTGGTTGTTGTTTGTGGAAGCTCATCATTTATTGAGAAATCAATCCGAACTTTTTGATCCGTTACGATTATAAACTGAAGCGATATTAAAATGAGCCCCATCAACTGAGTTTTAAACATTACTTTAAATGGAAGATCCCCATAGGCCCCACCCACCCTACGATCGGATCAGCGATTGGTATCGGTCGATACTGATTCCGGTGGTCGGCCCCAAAAACCCTGATCGGAACATCCCTAGTTATTGATATGCTCTGTGTCATTGGATTGGTAAGCAGGTGTTAAACTTTGAATTTCATCCTTTAACATAATAAAAGTCCCATTAAGCTCTTTAGAGGCTGTCCAAATTGCGCTTCATCTTCTGGATGTCTGCTTCTAACAAGGTCAATAGGTGTGTTTGTGTTTTATGGGACATTAAGAAGGCTGTTGTGGGCACAGGGAGCTAATTGACGACAACATCCTAATTGTTACTTGGCGGAGTAATAGGGTGGTGGCTTAGTTTGTGTGCTGATACCTCAGACTGTGGATTAGCTGCGAGAAAACAGCCTCACTTCAAATCCATCTCCCCAGGGCCATGTTGTGTTCCTTTGGTAAGCTGAATCAAAGATGTGTACAGTGTGCATGGTCCACTTGGCTCTGCCTCGGTTCAATTGAAATGTTGTCATCAGAAAACATGTCAAAGGGAGGTTTCTTTTTTTAACTTAAACATTTCTTACACAAAATAATGTGCCTTGATTCATTGTACACAGTTAACACCTTAGTTGTATCCCTAAGTACATATCAGATGTATAACAAGTGCATAGCAAATATGTCTTACTCTACTTAAGCCATGGTTAGAATTTCAAGGGAACATAATGTTAAAATATGCATACTCTCACACCGGCAGCATCGTATTAATAGAAGAGTTAAGGGTCATACACACTGTTTGTAGTGTGAGCTCTGATATGTGAAATGTGTAAGAGGAAGCGCTCTCCAGCTGGTATTGCTGTAACGGCATATGGAGTGAGATTAGTAAAGTGCCCGAGTACAAAAACTCTATGTTGTGAAAAAGAAGAAGAAAAGTCACATAAATTCACAAACAACATGCTTGACAATGTTTTGGTAAACTGTCATCCTGTAAGAATTCAGATTTCCCCGGGGATGAACAGATGAGTCAACGAATGTATCATTTACCTTGTCAAGTGTTCATTAGGAAAACATCAACAAATAGCACATACGAGCAATAACCCAGAAAGCAGTGTACCCTCTGCTCATTTTGTTATTCCATATTTTATAACCTGATAGCTTTCATATGTCAACATCCATCTTCTTGCACTATAACCGTGAGTGGGTGTAGGGTGGTGCTGTGGTTTAGTGGATGGTTTAAATGCCCTAAGTGTCTCTGGAATCACTGTGTTGGTTTATGTGGTTGGCTATTAAACTGGCAGCCTGATAATAAGTTGCAACAAACCTCACTCCCCTTACTTACAGTACTGTTTGTTGATAGACACACATTAACTCGATGCCTAAAACATGTATGCATGCTCTTTCAGCCCCTTGTCAACTTGTCAGAGCACCAAGGCCTTTGCAGTAACAGTGAATGTCTTATAGCTGAAAGGTCACAGGGGCAATGGCTTCCACTGCCAATGTGTCCATCAACAGTCTGATGTCTTGTTAGGGTTTCCTCAAGCAAGCTAACCTCCTTGTGTTCAAAGGCCCTCCATCCAACTTTAACTGATCCATCAAGCTCATTTAGATGTGTTAGTAACCGCTGTCACATCCCTCTCTACATGTGCTTTGCAATACATGCATTTGAATGTGAAGGCAATGGCTCAGCTTCACTTTGAATTAGTGTCATTTGAGGTTAGCCAAGGTAAACTGTAGTTTTTCTTAATCTATTTTATCTGCACCTTTTGTTGGGAAGCTTCACATAAGAAAAATGAAAAAAAGAAAACATCTACCAAGGAGAATGTCTTTTGAATAACAGATCACTGGTATCATATCTGCACTTTGCAACACAAGATACCATTAGTATATTGTCTAAGGATCAGAAGAAATACAGTCATATCAGTGCAGGGCCAGATGTTAGTAGCTGGTGGAGTGTTTATCATGAAGATCATAAAACCAAGTTGAGCTGTTATGAAGAGAAACTCCAATGATTGGTTAGTCTCTACGCTTTTTTATTCCCCATCATTTGAAGTTGCTTGTTTCCTGTACCCTATTGTGTCAATTGTAATTGTTCATCCCTCTAAACAGTGGAATTATTTCCCCATGTATAGTCCAGAGTTGATGGACCTGGAGTGGCTGAGTAACAATTAATGCCATTCACACCGAAGGTTAGCAGAACACAAACAGTCACTTTACCTCTTCTTCAGACCACATGTGATGAACCATAGTCAGCTGCTTGGCAGGCAGTAATGGTCACTACAGGACCATCATGTTTTGTAGATGTTTCCTTTCTGAAGTACATTCTGTAATGGGAATCTTACCAGGGGTGTTTTGGGTCATGGCAGCTCCTCACCACTGGCCATATGGCCACAATCAAACCGACGCTAATGTGCCAGCTGTCGGCTTTATAATACGTTTTGCAGTGCCCAGAATTCCTGATGGATGTGACCTAGTGGCTAAGATTTGGCAACGGCTTGACCTCAAAATACCAATTGGTGCCCTACAGTTCACAATTTTAAAAGGTTGCTAATTTCAGTCATTTATATTAATGTTTCCACAAAAAACGAATGTTGTTAATTAAAGCTTAGAAATGGCAGTTTGTTTTATAAAACCTGACCAACAGCTTTTTGTATAGCTTCATAACACATTTGCAACATAAAGTCTTGAAACAAATAAACAATAACACAAACATGTTTAAACAGTTGACAACACAGAAATAGATGTTTTCACTGAGATGCTGATTGGAAAACACACGGAAAAAATGCTTTAAACATAGAGTTCCACAAATATGCTTTGTACTTGTTACTTTTACTGTTAGCAGCTTTTAACAAAGCTTGATGGTGTTATGATT